AATTTTGTCATTCACAAGTAAATGGGTGGAACTGGAGAACATCATCTCAAGTGAAGGTAGTCAGAATCAGAAGGCCAAAAATCAACGTTCTCCCTCATCTGTGGATTACAGACCTAAAACAAATGTAGAAATATTACGGGACATGCCTCATACCCTAAAGGGGAGACTACACATGGGAGGAATAGGGAAAGGGAAGGAACCTAAAACTTGAATGTGGTTGATGTGGTCACTGTAGCGGAGCAAATACAGTAATCTTAACCTGGCAGAGGCCACTATGGGAAAGGGACTAGGAAGTAGTGAAGAGGTTTGGTAGAAATGAACCAATGTGGGTTGCAATACACATAGCATGGTAACAACACTAGGAATCTCTCTGTATAGCTATCTTTATCTCAAACTAGCAAAAACACTATGCTTTTCTTACTATCTGTCATGTTTTCTCTTCAACAAAATCAGAGAACAAGAGGGCACAACAGGTTCTGCCAAGAAGTGGGGCCCAAATAATGTATACACATGTAAGTAAATGTAAAAATGCTAAAATAACATTTTTAAAAAAAGTATAAGAACTAAAAAAAAATTAAACACCAGAAGAACAAATAATAAGTGGGCAAATGAACTCAACAGATAGTTCTCAAATGTCTAATAAATACACGAAACAACTTTAGCCATCAGAGAAATGCAAATCAAAACTACACTGAGATTCCATCTCACCCCAGTTAGAATAGCAATAATTAAGAAAACAAACAACAACAAATGCTGACAAGGAAGTATGGGCTGAGGGGGACCTCATACAATGAAGGTGGAAATGTTAATTAGCGCAGCTACTAAGAAAGTCAGTAGGGGGGTTCCTCAAAAAAACTGAACATAGAAATCCCATATGATCCAGCTTTCTCACTCCTAGATATATACCCGAAGGAATTTAAATTAACATACAATAGAGTTGTCTGTATACCCATGTTTATCAAAGCCACACTATGGACTCAGCCTAGGTGCCCAAAAATGGATAAATATTTAAAGAAAATGTGGTATGTAAACATAATGGAATATTATTCAGCCATAAAGGAAAACAAAATCATTTCATTTTCAGGAACATGGATGGAACTACAAATCATAATGTTAAGTGAAATAAACTAGACTCAGAAAGACAACTGTCACATGGTTTTCCTCATACACAGAATCTAGATGTTAAAAGACAACATGAATGTGGAAGAAGGACTCTTTGGGAAGAGGAAGGGAACCAGAGGTATGTAATAAATGTGTTTGAAAATGTCATAACGAGGGGGACTGAAGGTGTGGCTCAAGCAGAAGAGTGCCTGCTTTGTACTCAGTATACCCCAGTATAACCAAAAAGAAAATGTCATAATGAAATTCATTGTTTTGTACAACTAACACATGCTAAGAAAAAATTTTAGAATAAAGAAATGATCATTAAAATGGATAGAAAATACATGTAGTAAACACATATATAAAAAAATACATGCCAGGCTGTCCTTTGGTGGTTTTGTAAAAGGAGAATAGGATATTCATGTAAAACTTACAGTGTTAGTGAAAATTAGCCTAACTGGTGAGAGCCTAATTCTGATGAGGAGAAAATGAGATATTTTATGCTTATCATTTTTACCCTTAAAAACATCCTAGCATATACTCTCAACCAAAACAGTTATCGTTTAAACATATATTTTAAAAAAGGGATTATTCAGGTAAAAGGATAGACCTAAATTCCCTTCTCAGTACCTAGAAAATGGAGTCAGTCATAGTATCTTTCTAAAGAAATGATAAAATTTTAATTAAAATTTGCTATTACTCTTGGGGATATACCCAAAAGACTGTGACACAGGTTACTCCAGAAGCACCTGCACACCCATGTTTATTGCAGCACTATTCATAACAGCCAACTTGTGGAAACAGCCAAGATGCCCCACTACTGATGAATGGATCAAGAAAATGTGGTATCTATACACAATGGAATTTTATGCAGCCACGAAGAACATCATTCTGAGTGAGGTTAGCCTGGCCCAAAAAATCGTATGTTCTCCCTCATATGTGGACATTAGATCAAGGGCAAACACAACAAGGGGATTGGATTTTGAGCACATGATAAAAGCGAGAGCACACAAGGGAGGGGTGAGGATAGGTAATTCACCTAAAAAATTAGCTAGCATTTGTTGCCCTTAACGCAGAGAAACTAAAGTAGATACCTTAAAAGCAACTGAGGCCAATAGGAGAAGGGGACTAGGAACGAGAGAAAAGATTAGATCAAAAAGAATTAACCTAGAAGGTAACACCCACACACAGGAAATCAATGTGAGTCAATGCCCTGTATAGCTAACCTTATCTCAACTAGCAAAAACCCTTGTTCCTTCCTATTATTGCTTATACTCTCTCTTCAAGAAAATTAGAAATAAGGGCAAAATAGTTTCTGCCGGGTATTGAGGGGGTGGGGGGGAGAGGGAGGGGGCGGAGTGGGTGGTAAGGGAGGGGGTGGGGGCAGGGGGGAGAAATGAACCAAGCCTTGTATGCACATATGAATAATAAAACAATTAAAAATTAAAAAAATATTTGTTGTTACTAATGTGTCATAGTATAAAACATATATAGCATTACTGTATATACTGGGTATGAGTTTAAAAGACATCCTATAATGGTTGCTTCATAGAAAAATACCTAATAATTTTTACTCATTTTATGCATGATATAAATGGTTCTCAGATTACCATCAAAAAGGCTCCTTGTCTCACAAAAATATTAATTATAACAGTGGTTTTCAAAGCATGGTCTAAAGGCCACTGAGGATTCTAAAGACATTTGCCCTTTTGTCCTCTCTTGTCCAACTAAGCAAACATCTGTGTGAAGCTGTAGGGTTTTGTTTTGTTTGTTTGTTTGTTTTTGGTTTGGGGATTGAACCCAGGGCTTTGTGCATGCTAAGTAAGCACTATGCCACTGATCCAGCCCTGGATTTTCTTTATGTGTTTTAATCAAAACAACATATTTGTGGAAAACAGTATGGAGATCCCAAAAAACTAAAAATAGAACTGCCATATGGTTCAGCAATACCACTTTTAGGAATACACCTGAAGAACGTAAGTCAGGTTGCAATAAAGGCACCTGCACACCCATGTTTATTGCGGCACTATTCATGATAGCCAAGCTATGGAAACAACCAAGATGCCCCACCACTGATGAATGGATTAAGAAAATGTGGTATTCATATACAATGGAATTTTTACTCAGTCACAAAGAAGAATGAAATTTTGTCATTTGCAGGTAAATGGATGGAACTGGAGAACATCATTTTAAGTGAAGTCAGTCAGGTTCAGAAGGCCAAAGCTGCATGTTCTCTCTCATGTGGAATATAGACCTACTACAAATACAGCAATATTATGAAAAATAGGTCATGCTAAATGGAGGTCACTAACAGGATATAGGGAGTAAAAGAAAGAAGTTAAGAAGGTGAACATGGTTGATGTACTCTCTAAACAAGAATGAATATAGAATAAATTTTGAACCTGTTGAAATCACCATGAGAAGGAGACTATGGTAGAAATTTGGGTTCTAATAAATATATATATGGAAATGTCACAAGGAAACTCCCTGTGTAGCTCTCTTTTTTTTTTTCATTTTTCTTTTATTATTCATATGTGCATACAAGGCTTGTTTCATTTCTCCCCCCTGCCCCCATCCCCTCCCTTACCACCCACTCCGCCCCCTCCCTCTCCCCCCCCAATACCCAGCAGAAACTATTTTGCCCTTATTTCTAATTTTGTTGTAGAGAGAGTATAAGCAATAATAGGAAGGAACAAGGGTTTTTGCTGGTTGAGATAAGGATAGCTATACAGGGCATTGACTCACATTGATTTCCTGTGTGTGGGTGTTACCTTCTAGGTTAATTCTTTTTGATCTAACCTTTTCTCTAGTACCTGTTCCCCTTTTCCTATTGGCCTCAGTTGCTTTAAGGTATCTGCTTTAGTTTCTCTGCGTTAAGGGTGACAAATGCTACCTAGTTTTTTGGGTGTCTTACCTATCCTCACCCCTCCCTTGTGTGCTCTCGCTTTTATCATGTGCTCATAGTCCAATCCCCTTGTTGTGTTTGCCCTTGATCTAATGTCCACATATGAGGGAGAACATATGATTTTTGGTTTTTTGAGCCAGGCTAACCTCACTCAGAATGATGTTCTCCAATTCCATCCATTTCTGTGTAGGTCTCTTAAACAAACAAAAATGTCATTTTATTTTTCTTTTACATAATTGCATAACAAGAGAGTGGAACAAGCCTGTGCAGGATGAGGGGAGGGAGTTTGGTCCAGTGGGAGGGGGAAAGAGGTGGGCAAAGGATGTGGGAGAGTGAATATGGTGCAAATACTGTGTTCACATGAATGTAAATGGAAAATGATAGTGGTTGAAACTAATCCAGGAATGAGGGAGGGTAGGATAAAGAAGAATGGTGGAGGGGGTGAATTCAACTAACATATATTTTGATATATTGTAAGAACTTTAGCGAATGCCACAATGTACCCCCAACCAAGCACAATGTAAAAAAAGAAAAAAAAATTGCAACAGATTGCATAGATTGTACCTGCTTACATTAGAGCACATGTTAAGAGACTTGAAAATACATAGTAAACATCAATCTTTCCATTTTCTCTTTTTTTGATAAAATATTTATTTCTAAGAAATAAAATAAGCTATTTACATTATCATGTAATTTTATTGTTATTTTAAAATGCATTAATAAACATTCAAAAATTCTCTGTTTTACTTTCTAACATGGTAAATAAAGAAAAGCTCTTGGAGGTTTTCAGTAATTTTTGAGTGTGAAGGGTTCCTGAGTCCAAAAGTTAAAGAGGCACTAAGTTATGTAACCCATTTAACTGACACAATTTTGCCTCCAATAAATATGTAAACACAGAAGATTGAGACATGGTTTTCTGAGAAGCTTTTATATTGTCTAAATGACCAAACGTGAAAATAAAACATATTTTAGGCTTCATTTTATCAGTACTTACTTATCATAGGAATCCATTGCTATGACCCACTTGCATAGACCTTCGGCAGCTGTGGATGCATTTCTGATCTTTTCTGGAACAAAATCTGGATTTGGAATATAACTTTTTCTTATGATATTCATGTAAGCTGGAGGAATATTGTCCTTGTCATATTCGTGAAGTGACTGTAGAAACCTCATGTCCCCAAGAAGTCTCTTAGCTGGGCCCCAGAAATCCTCAATTTTTTTCCCTGAACCTGTTGGGTCTGGGATTTTGTCTGCTTTGATGCCCTTCAAGATGCATATGGCTTCCATGACAAGCTTGACACCAGCAGGAGGACTCTTCATGGATTTTACTACTGTGATATCCTTGAAAAACAACATTTAATTATTAAAAAAGAAATATTTGCTTGTATGTTATTTGCAATGGCTCCTATTTTTAAAATCAAGCCTTAAGAGACAGAATCACTCTGTGCGTCAAGGGAAAAAAAGGTGGCAATGATAGAACTGTGTCAAGAGTGTTGACAAGATTGTCCCAAAGGAAAAGTTAAAACAACAAAAGAATTATCTAAGGTTACCCTTCTATACAGGTTATCCTACTATAGTGTGAAGCTGTGCAAAGTTTTGAAAGAACTGCTGTTTTTATGATAGGTACTACCACCTGGCAGCTTTCTTCCTTTCCAAAATGGTCTATCATGCACATACATTTCTTTTCTCAGATGAACTAGGAAATCCTTTTGCCAATTTCAAAATGTTTTCAATTTCATTATGTTTGCAGACAAACTAGGAAAGACAGACTAGCTTGTGCTAGATTGTGGCCCACAGTGGTAAGCCTTTCTGGACTTGTGCTCCAGTGTTTCCTAGAACGCACCTGGCCCATGCATCTCAATCTCTCTCCTCTCCCTCTCTCCCTCTCTCCCTCTCCCTCCCTCTCTCTCTCCCTCTCTCCCTCTCTCTCTCTCTCTCTCTCTCTCTCTCTCTCTCTCTCTCTCTCTCTCTCTCACCTGTGCAGTAAGAGTATCCAGGGCAGTTAGCGCCGACTCCAGTATTGGCAAGGCCTCTGCCAGGTCGGCGTCACACTCATCTTTGATGGCCTTGGCAGCCATGGCTTGGTCATTTGCTACCGTTTCATCAGCTTTCACTATCTTTTCTGTTTTGGCAACCTCTACAGACTCCCTCTCAATGATCACCATCATCTCATCCACCTGTTTGCTGGCAACTTTTAATTGCGGATGCAGCGCCTCCAACTCTAACTGCATGGTGGCTACCTGAGATGACGCAGAATCCAATTTATCCAAGCCCACTTCGTACCTCTTCTTCATCTTCATTACTTCACTGAAAGCAAGTAGACAAAGCGAGGTTGGTTATGAGGATCTGGATCCTATGTGAAGGAAAAGCTTAAATGTTCTTCAGCTTCTCAGGCTTTTTTTTTTTTAAAAAAACTAAAGGAGTGTTCTGTAAGATTTTTACAAAGTTTGTTAAAAAAAGTGAACTCTAGAACACTGGCTTGTGCACAATCAAGAGCAAACAGCTTTTCTTATCTTTCTCTGTGTTCTCAATACATACAGAGTATCTAGGCATATAAACAAGATTCAAAAGAATAAATGCAGCGAATACAAATTGAATAATACACTTCTAAAATTAGTCCTCTTCTGTAAGTTGATTGCACCAACACTGTTGTTTCTTACAGCCTTTTTAGAACCACTTATTTTAAACAGAACTCAGTGCACAAAATGTATTATTTTGAATGTTGCCAGAGATGAAAATTCATTTAAGATATATTACATCTTAAAATAGGAACTTTTTTTTAAGACAAAGGGGACAAGTGAGGTATACAATAAAGCCCAACACTTTTTTGGGCAGTGCAAAATGTTTATAAAGTAATAATAGCAGATTAGATATAAAGTAACATTTTGGAGCACTTTAAAATTTAATATTTTAATGTGTTTAGAATTTTTACTGTATTCATGTTTTTTTTTTTCTCTAGAGGCAACACTCTTCTTTATAATTTGTTTTTTGCTGTTGTTGCTGTTGTTTCTGTGGTGGTGTGGATGGCACCAAGGGCCTTGCACATGCTAGGCAAGCTCTATACCACTAAGCTATTTCCCCAGCATTTGTTTCATTTTTAAAATAGCTGATATACATAATGCTTCAAAATAAAAGGTAACATATTTTAGAAATTCTTTTTTAAAAGTAGGCTGGAGTAGGAGACCAGCTTAGATTGAAAAAGGTAACCATAACACTGAAGTCTGTTAAAGAAAAAAACAAGCAAACAGAGGGAGGGACTGGCACATTTTTGCCATGTGCTGAATTCTCTCTGAGTGAGCAAATTATTTGACAGTAATGGGGAATGAGTGACTAGATCCACAATACGGTATCATATGTGAATTCAGTCTCGGTTCAAACCTTGAGCAGCAAGCATATGAAAGGTCTCATTCCTGCCAGCAGGAGACAGTTTCTAGATTGCGCTTCATCCCACGTGATGTTTCATTAGCTTAACCACTGACTTCTTGGCAGGTGACCTGAAAATTGACTTCTGGGTTATACCTGGCTATTGGAGATCTGAAGGCATCAGTTACTAAGGGAATTGTAACCAGAGGGCAGGAATTCTAGTTGAGCTAAAGAAGAATTGTTTCTTTTAATTTGCAAGAAAGATCGGAAGATTGAAATTTGAAAGACAAGAATATTTGAAAGTGCCTAGAAAATCATGAATCTTTCAATTTTCCTTTAACTTTGTATCTCATTATCATTACTAATTTTTCACCTATCTATTGAAATCTACAATTCCCACCCAAGGCTGCTACATGACCTGGTTGGATTTTATTATTTTTTTGGCTCTCAAGATAATTGTCTTTCTAATAGATCTTATGATCCTTTACTAATGTAATCTTGCTTTTTCTTTCACATTCTTTTTTTCAGAGGGGTGTGGACCACAGTGACCAGGACAGTCCAGCTGAAGAGCACAGCAACAGTCACTATGAACATGAAGGAGGAATGTCTTATCAGCATCCAGGTAGTGTCCTGGCCATTATAACTAGCAAGGCTTTGAAATGCTTAAGATAGTGAGTTAGCAGTGGAAAGTTTAAAATTAACTATATAAATTTACAATAAAAATCAAACTCATAGAATTAATATTTAAGGAATATGTGCACAGTTGGTGTTTTAGGTATATTTTTAATTTTTAAAAGAATTTGCTGAGTTAGATTAATAGATTGGCCTTGAAATTCCAATACAAATATTATGTAACTGAGCTACAGACTGAGGTCTGTGTGTCTCATACATTTTATACCTCTAACAATTAACAGAACTTCAGACTCACAATATGTGTAGGTTTAACACTAGATTTATAAATTATTTAAGTACCTAGGGAAGTTTGATTTGTTAAATCAGAACATAGAAATAAAAATATACCAAAAGTATAAATGCAATATAAAATTTTATTTAAATGAGTTTTTCAATAAGATCAAATATTAATTGACGACCCCTTATAGAGATCACTCACTTTTCTAAATCTTTAATTTCCTAGATGAACGTTTTAAAATTTTATAATATACGTACTCAGCATTAATTTTTAGAACCAAAGAAGCTTTTGAGTAAACTTTTCTGAAAGCTCACTTTGACACGTTCTATAGCGTGTAAGTTTCTTGATACTTATACTGACGTTTTCAACTGAGAGTACATCAGACAGGGAAAGTAGTCATGTAAATTAAGTGGGTCTCTTTGCAGTTCAGCTGTTTGAGACCCAAAAGAAGGCTTATGTATTATCTAATTACTGATTAGTCTCTAGTGATGTTTACTCAGTATCACTGTCAAGGAACCCTGGGCTCTAACCACAGCTCTGAGGGCACACCTTCATTCTTTCAACAAATATGGTTATGCATTTATGACATACCATACGTAAGAATTAGGACTGGCCTCCTACCCTCCAAATGTGTACAGGTTAAATCATTCAAAGTTTTAACAAACAGCTGTTCATCTGAAACAAATTTCTATTACACCATTGCTATGTTATTTTTGTACACTGAAATATTTTTAAACAGCCATAGCATATTAAGAAATATGAAATTTCACATTTACCTCCTCTTCTTTTGTAACAATACTTTGAAGGTGGAGATCAATTCAAGATAAGAGGTGGGAGTCACATAATTGTATCTTTGAAGTTCAGCGTGGAAGGATGTCGATAAATTTATAGTGGAAGTGTGGAAGCTTTTACACATGTCAATACAGCCATCTCGAATCTCCTCTGACATTTCGACTTCCTCCAAGAACCGTGAGGCCACTGCCTCTAACGCATCTTCAGGCCATGACTGAGTTTAAGATAAGTGCGTTAGTACGTTATCGAGGGCGTGATGTGCGTCTGTTACTTACTGCAACTCTACGATTTATGGATGCTAGACAGGGAGGAATAGCACGAGGCCCAGGGAGGGAAACATGTTCATGAGGAAGCTTCTTCATGTACTGTCATGCTTAGGGCAGGACGGTGGACCTGGAGCCTATAACACAGCTCTTTCCGGTTTTCTCAGGGACGAGAGAAGTTGTTCAAGAGTGTTACAGGAGAAGAAGGGGGAAGGTACTGAACTCACAGAATGCTTGTTTCTGTGTGCATTTTACTGAAACTACTCATTTAATTCTCCCAGCAATTTTCTGAGGTAAATGTTACGATCCTTTCCCCTAAACTCCAGAATCACTAACTAACCACCTCCTTGCTGTCCGTTGGCTGGCTTGTACACATCTCAAACTCACAACCACAAAATATGATTCCTAGCATCCTCATCATAGTTTCAGTCTTCCTTAACTCAGTAAACATCACCACCGTTCATGAGTCACCCAGCCAGACACAGGAATCAGCCTTGCTCATCTCCTCTTCCTGAACCCTCCATTCATTGCGTGAGCATGTCCCAATTCCCTTCCCTTCTTCCTGTATCTGCCGCACCCATTCCAACTCAGGTCTCCATTACCATCACTGGAATAGTCCAATCATAGCCCAACTGCTTTCATTCACTACTCAGCTGCCAGAGGGGTTGTTTCAAAATGGAAATCATCCCATACCACAGCCCTTTGAAGTCTGCCCAGCATACAGTTTTTAAAAATCCAAACCCCCTGCAAGTCCTTTCCTGATTTGGCCCTTTCCACTTTTTGAACCTTAATTATGTCACTTCCCCCTCAGTTCCTCTGCTCCCATCATACTGATCACCCCTCGCCCTTCTTATTCCTTCCATCTAGCCTTCCCACCTTCACTAGTTTTTATCTCTGCCCACATCTTTTTGGTACGGGAACTTTTGTCTTTCAAGTTTCCTCTTAAACGTCACCTATCCAGAAAGCTTGCCTTTACTCCTTATTTGCTACCCTCTATGAAAGGAAAATTGAATTATTTTTTACATTGAGCTAGTTAGTCTCCTTTCCCTAGTTCCTTCCCTCACTCCCCGCTTCTGTTCTCTGCCATAATCTGTTTTCTGCCTTTGTCTACTCGGCTTTGTGTTTCCTGACTCAGAAGTTTACCACAAAAAGTGTCCCGTCCCTCTGGCATTTTTCTTTTTGACTTTTGTTAGATTTGGCTGATGGAAAGAGATTGGCGAGTGGAAGAAGAGAGAAGTGGGAGTATAGTAGCTAAATTCTTTCTATGTTTCTGGTTTCTATTCCTGTCTGGCAGTCCTCCTTCTTATGGCACAACCCTCCCTCTGAGATCCTATAACACTCTTCCTTCCCTCTGCCCTTTTATACCCCTGACAAGTAACAACTTCCTGCTGTGGCTCTATCACGTTCTGAAAGCTCCACCACCCCTCTTGGCTCCCTTAACCCTGCTTACTCTCTGTGAACAGTCCCTTCATTAAGCTTCCTTCAGTGAAGTCTTCAAGTATGCTCCGTTTCCTGTGAGGACCCTGACTGATAATGCAAATTTATCCTAAAATGTTTTGTATTATATTGACATTAATAATTGCATATACTCTTACCTATTTTCTGTGATGATTTCTACAATTATAATTGCATGAAATGTACCATGATGGATCAAAAATTACTAAACTCCATTGGGGGGAATCTATTAAAGTTGTGATGATGATGGAGATTCAAAATTTCTAGAAGTCTATCTACAATTTACATGGCAATACCTGAAACCAGTCAATGGTACAGCAGTTAACAAGAGCAGGAAACTTTCTAAGACGATTCCGAAATGCATCTCCGATGGGGCTCATGGCCAGGACCATGTGCAGCTGGTTGCGGCAGCGATCAATAAACATGTTGAAAAGAGCTATGGGACTTCCGTCTGTTTGTTTAGTTTTATCCCTCTGGCGATCTAACTGACGCATCTTTTCACATATCTCTTGCTTCTCATCTACTGCAAAGAGATTTGGAACCTCCCCAGCATTTAGCAGATTGTTGACATCTTCCAGAAATGACTCTCTTTTAATCTGAGTATCTGTAAACAGGAAGATACCCTGCATGTCACCTTCAGCACACTTCCTCAAGATCACTTTTAAATCTTCACGCCACTCGTTGTTACCATAGCCCTTAGAGATTTCAACCTGGAATACAGCATAATCAGCCATGTGGGCAGCTAATCTGGTGACGGACTGCCTGCCACTCCCCCCAACTCCAACCAGGAGAGCATGGCTTCGAGGCTGCTTCAAGATCCTAGAGATTCTGCTGATGTGCTCTATGGCAAATCGGAACAAGACAAGGTTCATGGGCTTCTTGCTCATGTTGTTGTATTCCTCCAAGTGAACTTCCACAATCACCCGAAGGTTGTCCATGTTCTTGACTTCTCTGTAGCTCGTATCTTCCCTCTTGGGATCATGGAAATCACAAAACATTAAGCTTCTTAAGTCATCTTCTTCTACTGCTCCATCTCCATCAAAATCCAAACTTTGGAAAAGCTCATGAAAATCTTCATTCATATAATTTTTCAAAATATCTTGTATGTAGTTAATAAGCCAACTTCTGTCTGCATTATCCAGAAGGCGGTCATAGTATACTCTAAGGACCTGTATAATTTTAAAAAATGACTTTAGAAACTAATTATTTCTTTTAGTCTTCTAATTTCTGTCATATAAATTATAAAAATACTATCAGAAAATTTCTATAGGTTTTGTTAAAAGTATATTCAAATAAGACTGTTTCATAATAATATTTTAAAAGGAGAGTGGTGGAAGGGGTGAACTCAGTATGATGTATTTGATACACTGTAAGAAATTTTGTAAATGCTACAATGTACCCCCATCCAGCACTACGATAAAAAGATAAATATTTATATTCCTGTTGAAAAAAAGATTAATTTTGATCATATCTATTTGGAACAATACAGTTATATTCAGTTGTCAATACATGAAAGGTAATTTGGGTGGTTGATGTAGATTGTGTCGATGCAAAGAGAATGGAGGCCTTAAGAAGGCACTCAGTCATGATCACAGAGCTGTGTGCTGGTATCCAGGATATCCCTCTTCTTGTGACACTCCTTTTCCCAAGACAGACAACTTTTTGAAGTTATTGGCAAATCAACAGATATCATTTATTTTGTTTTAAAGTACATTTTCAAAAAGAAAAGGAAATGTCTTGAGTGATGGAGGTGTTTTAAACATCTACTCACGATTTTTGCTGGAAGTCAATGCAGAGGCAATCTACTAAAATAAATCTCTGATTCTATGCAATTATTATGGACTTCAAGAAATAGTCAAGTGTGGTACATACAACTGTCCTCAAAGTGGTAGGAGCAGCCCACCTTTAAGGATGTAATTAAGGTTAAATTGCGATCATAAGGATGGTGCCCTAGTTTGATAGGATATGTCCTCAGAAGAAGAGAAAGAGACACTAGCATAGTCTCTCACCTGCCTGTCTCCACTGCTTCCCCTTTTCACTAACACTGATGGGACCCTGATCTTGGAGTTCCTGGTCTGTGAACTGTGAGAAAATCAGTTTCTATTGTTAAGCCATTGGGTCTGTGGTATTTTGTCATGGCATTCCAAGCAGACTAATACACATCAAGTAATGTGTCTTTTTGTCAGCAGAATTTTGGATCATGACTCTTTCATTTTGGGCAAGTTACTTAAATCACCTATAGCAGCTTCTTCATATATAAAATGGGGAAATACTTCACAAATTTCACAGATTTGTGCCAAAAACAAAATGGCAACAAATGTGAATCCTAAAATGTGTAATTATGACAAACTATCTCGACATCAGGCTAACGGTGTTGGACAACCACAGGTATAGTGTGAAACTGTTAAATCAATGATTTAACAGAGTCATTCCTTTTTCTATCATTGGTGGTTGCATAATAAAATGGTACAATTTATGCCTCATCCATACTCCAACCAGTTCAAAAGCTATTTACAGAACAATCTAATTTCTTAACATATGCCAAGAGTCACTCCCTTGAATTGAGGTACTGAAGACTTTGAGCAATATTCCTATGGGAAGGGGAAACTAAATTAAACCAACCCAACATACCAAGGTCAATTCCTGAGCATGAGTCAAGTATATTATTATATAAATTAATAGATTATTGCATTATTGGCAATGTTTCCAAAGACAGTCAACACACCTGCACAGGAATCATTGAGGTACTTACTACACTGCAGATTCCAGACCCTGTTAACATGAAAACTTTGAAGATGGTGGCTAGGAATATTCTTTACTCTCACCCTTTTATTCCTTTTCTTATACAAGGTACAAAAATATTTTACGCATACAGCTCAAAGAATTTTCACATTCACATACCCAGGTAACCACTTTTAAGATGAAGATGAAGATACAGAGCATTTCTAGCACGTAAGCAGGCTTCCTAATGCTCACTTCTGTTGATATCATGTCTCCTTCTCTCTCTCTCTTCTCTCCCTCCCTCCCTTCCTTCTTCCTTTCCTCCTTTTCTTTCTCTCTCCCTCCCTCTCTCCCTCCCTTCCTCTTTTCCTCCTTCCTCCCTCCCTCCTTTCTTCCTTCCTCGCAGAGAAACATTAGTCTATGGCTACCTTCCACATCTTAAAAAGTTGACACGTAAAACCTTCTATTATAAATTGAAATGGTTGCCAACTATGTAATTTCAGGTATTCTTGTATTGTGATTTATGCTTTGAATTTATTTATGTCAAAGTATTAATTGCAAATTAAAAAAATAAAGATACAATTCACATAACATAAAATTCACTTGTGTGGGGACTGAACCCAAGGCCTTGGGTATGCTAGGAAAGCATGCTACACCCCCCACCAGCCCCAAATTTACTCTTTTAAAATGTACAATTCAATGATTTTTAGAATAGTCACAAAGTTGTATACCTTTCACCCCAAAGCAGATACTTCTTATTACCTTCTCCCCCAAACTCCTGGAAACCACAAATCTACTTACTGTTTCTATGAATTTGCTTATTTGCGGCATTTCATACCAACAGAATCATATGGTAAGTGGCCTTTGTGTATGGCTTCTTTCACTGAGCATGAAGTTTCCTAGGTTCGACTGTACTTTAGCTATGTCAATATTCTGTACTGGAACCAAGTTCCACTTCATGTATATACAACATGCACTTGCCTACTTATCAATTGATGGCTATTTGGATTGTTTCCACTTTTTGGCTACTATGAATTATTCTAAGTAACAGCATGTGCAAGTTTTTGGGTGAATATATATCAATCTTTTTCAGTGTGTAGCTAAAAGTAGAATTGCTCCATCATATGGTAACCATGTTTAACTTTTTCATGAACTACCAAACTGTTTTACATATTATATTTCCACTAACAATGTCTGAGATTTTCCATTATGTCATGCCCTCACCAATATTTCATACTCAGTTTTGACTACAGCCATTCTAGTGGGTATGAGGGGTACTTTAGTGCAGTTTTGGTTTTCCTAATAAATGAACATCTTTTCATACTCTTATTGATTTGTATGTCATCTTTAGAGAAATGTCTGTTCAAATCCTCTGCCCACTTTTAAACAGGGTTGTATTAATAAAAAGAGTAAGTCCAGCATTCTGTGCATTGTATGTACAACACACTCATCAGATAAATGGTTTGTAAGTGTTCTCTCTCATGCAATGTATGGTCTTGATAGTGTCTTTTGAGCATGAAAATACTTAATCTTGATGAAATCTATTTCTCTCTTTTTTTCTCCTTTGGGTGCTTTCACAGAATATTTGTGATTAACAAGCAAACTAGGTAATATGCTCACTAAAGTTTGAGAACCATGGAGAAGCCAACAGAGATGATAGCAGGCCACTTTTATATCTTCAAAACTATTCCATGAAATTATATTAGGCCCTCTAGTGTGGTAACAATGCCTAGAAAGGAAAAAGACACCTATCATAGTCTCTGACATCTATTAGACCTCAAAGGAATCTTTCTTGAGTGAATAGAAATAAAGCACAAATTACAGTGCTGAGTTCAATCACTTCATATTTTTTGAAATGCTAAAAACATGTCAAACATTGTTCTTGGTATTGCAGATAAATCAGTGAAAAAAAAGAAAAAGAAATCTCTTCCTTAAGGAGTTTGTGTGCTATCTGAGGGAGGTAGACAATAAACATAACAAATGAATTATACAGCAGGTTAGAAGTTGATAAATGTTATAGAAAGAAGGAAAATAGAACAGGATAGGAAAGACTGAACTGCTAGCATAGGGGTGGGGTGCTAGGCTGTAGTATTAAATAGGGCAGTCAGTATAGATCTCATTGAGGAGGAAAAATTTGGTCAAAGGCAAGGACGGAATCAGTCAAGGATCAGTATCTGGGGAAAAATCACTCTAGGCTGAGCAAATAGCCAGCTGCTTGAGTTCCTGGCAGAGGATGAATGACAGTGACAGTAGGGTCACCCCAAGGGAAGAGGAGAAGTCATACACAAACCAGGCCCTATGGGCCATGAGACTCTTATTCTGAGTTCTGAATGAAGTAGGGTACTGTTGCAAGGTATTGAGCTGAGAACCTAAATTCACTAGACATACATGTGTGTGTCTGTGTGTGTGTGTGTGTGTGTGTGTGTGAAGTAGTCATTAAGAGTTATTGTGTTATAAACTTCATTGAATGTTCAAATAGTTCATCAGTCATTATTAAAACTCAATAATCTAACAATCTAAAGCACTATAAAATCTGAAAAAGACTAAAAAGTAATCATATATACCAAAAATATGTAACAAAACATATGAACTACTCCAATGGTTGGAAGAAAGCAATGACATGCATGATGACATGTGATAAAATGTGTTATGCAACAGTAAGCCTGCCTGTCATCCCCCCTTTATGCACTCAGTTACCACTATTCATTGAGGCACTAGGGAAAGAAGTGAATAAATAAAAGCTGCTGTTCTCATAAGATTTCAATTGTAACAAGGCAACAAGCAAGCAAAAAGTTTTGAATGTTTCATGTGATGTTCAGCATTTATGAAGAATAAGCAAAGTAAGAGATGATGAAGCTATGGGGGATGCAGTGGCTTATGTGATAAAGGGATAGTCTAGCAAAGACCTTAAGGAGGAAAGTGGGCAAGACTTGTGTGTAATGGGGAAAGAATGTTCCAGGCAGAAGGACTATCAAAGGCAAAGCCCCTGAGGTGAAGAATGCTAGATTCTTCCTAGAGTAAGAGTTGCTCATGACAAAATGCTGCCTTAGGCAACACACTCTGCTTTGGTGTGAATCTTATGTCCCCACAAAATTTGTATGTTGAAATCTTCACCCCACGGTGAGAATTAAGGTGGCATTAAAAGGCCTTTGGGAGGCAATAATTAGGTCATGGGGGCCACAACTTTGATGAATGGGATTAATGCTTCAAAAAGTAGCTGAGAGCCCCTTACCCTGTCCATGGTGTAAACACACAGGGAGAAGGCACTGTCTATGAATAAGGAAGCAGGCTCTCCCAGACACCAAATCCACCAGCCCCCTGACCTTCTCAGCCTTCAGAACTGTGGGAAATACATGCCTGCAATTGATAAGCCAGCTACCGTAAGGTTCTTTCTTATTGTAGTCTGAACACATTAAGGCACATTCCCTCAAGGAATTCATTGTTGCCTTCCCCTCTCTCTTCTCTCCCTCTCCAGCTTTCTGCATATGTCTATTACCCATTGGCCCCCCAAACATGAAGCCTGTGTTCACATTCCAGGATGGGGGATGCATTCAACCAGTTAAGTTATGGTGAAATGCTGTGAGAATCAACGGAGCACTCTTTCTTAAAGAGCTTGTAGTGACCTTGCTGTGGCCAAAATTTTCAAGTGGAGTAGATTGCCATTTGGGTACATATTGGAATGTGGGATTTAGGCATTCAAATTGTATAATCTAAAAAGCCTATAGAAACTGCTTTGCTGTTAACACCTTTTAAAATTTACCTCACTGAAGCACATGCTTCTAATATAGTAGTACACCCCTATTTTCTAGGTTTCTTGACTACATTATTAAAATAACTATATAATTTAATTTACATGCTAAAATGGGCTAGGGTTAGACACTTTCTTCCCACTTTTGCATAGTCTTTTTGTCCATTAAAAATGGAACTACTATTTTCTTTTTTTTTTAGTTTTTACTACTTAATTTACTATTTCAAGTATATAGTAGCATGGACAAAAAAAGTTTATAATATTAGACATGAAAAACATTCTGGGGTAGCTCTTTAAGAAAATTGAACTATTATTTTCTATGTATCATATTTTGTTCTGTCTCTTGTCTTCCCTTCCTCTATAAAGTTTTCATAAGAAAATACACAGCTATAAACTTTATTACCAAGAGAACTTACAGTTTCTATGCCCTGAAACTGTGAATGCTCCACTTGGGTTGAGTTGTATTTTTGACACCAAGTAATATTACAATAATGTAAATTAACATATTCACTTCTTATAAAATCATCTTAAAAAGTGTTTCACTGCAAAAAATGTTTAAGTCAAATTAAGGAGGGTTAAGTCACTTAAAGGAAATTGACTGAAATTAATACCTACTTACAAGATACCCTACGAGTCAACAGAAATCCCTAACTATAGGAGATTAGGCAATTTGAACACCATAGAATATCTTACTACTAAATATTTTAAAATTATTTTGACTATGGCCTTCATATACCAAACAGTTAAATGCATTTCAACAATGTAAATTGCTAAGTATTTCTTTTTACCCAGTTGTTGGCATAGTAAATCTTTGTTTCTTGCTTAATCACATTTCAAATAACATGGAATTTTACCTCATGAACCCACAGACGTTTAATCACTTCTTTAGTTTCTGCTGTTTCAGGTCTTGACAAACAAACACCTTGAATGACGCGGGAGAAATCACGAAGGTTGAACAGGTAGTGAGATTTAGCGGGAGTAGGCAAGAGATTCTTCATTGCATCTTTATACAGAGTCATTGTGCCATTTACAATTTGTGTGGTCAAATCTAGAAAATCCTCTGGAAATTTATAACTTAAAAAAATTAAATAAGAAAAATATTAGCAAATACAGAATTATATTACGTAAGTGACATTTAACATGACCAATATAAAAGTTTAATTCTGATTGAATTAATTTGATTTACAAAATTCTCATTTCTTGTTATTAGAATAATACTTTTACTTCTTGTAAAACTACTTTCCATTTGCTACTTTTTTTTGGCAGCACTGGAGTTTGAACTCAGGGCTTCATGCTTGCTAGGCAGGTGCTCTACCCCTTGAGCCACTCTACCAGTCCCCTCCATTTACTACTTTACCCTGTATCCATAGGAACCCTGTAACTAAGAAGGGTCAATTTAGTGGACCTAGAACTACTTAAGTTAACAAAAGAAGCCAGCCAAGGATCCCATATATAACTTAAAATTTAGCACTAGACAAATCCTTTCTAACTCTTTTACTCCTGGAATTCTCAATTGCACAGAAATATATTCTAGAAAGAACACTACTGAAATGGGTATTTTCAGATTAAAAAAAGAAAAATGCATTATAAAGAAAATGAAAGTAAAAGATTGAGCTGGAATTAAAAGGGGGAAAATATATGATTAGATTGGGGAAAAAACATAAGGAAAGAAAGTTCATTTGGAAAAAATGACTTTAATTTCTGGCGTGACAAAGAGCCAAGTGTCTTCTCCATCACAACTGGATAGGGCAAGGAATAATAATTTCCCAAGAATTGGCTTCAGGAAGGCAAAATAGCTACTGCTCAGATGATACTGGCTCCCTGACATCCATGCATCTTGTGGGCTAGAGCTGAATCTTCAGAGCTAAAGAGCAACATTTCCCCAGAGAATAGGCTCCAAAGCTATACTCCCAAACTTGGATGTGGAATACTCCTGGTAGAACTCAGTTCTACTAGAGGGTGTCAAAGTCACAACATAAATTTGGTATATCATTCCAGCATTAATTGCCATGAAAATTCAGAATAGTAACTCAAATGTGGACATGTTAGACAGCAGAATGAGCTGGTCTCTTTGTGTTAGGCTCTCACACTGGAGGGTTGGAAGAATGGCCGGGAGCAATGTTGTCTGCTGCTTTTTCTTTGTCTACGATTGCTTTCATGGAACCATTTGAAAAGCATTGCTTATATTGAAATGTTTCTAAAAAGTTTTATACCTCTCAATGAAAAAATAAACAAACCTTAAATTACTTACCAGATTTTTAAATGCCAGGTTAAGATTCTAGAGAAGATTGTAAACATGGACTTATCACTAAACTCATTGATTGTTATAATATTGAAATGCCTCGTGTATCGAGGAGTTATTGGATTTCGACCACCACCTGAATATTAAAAAAAAAAGTTCTTAACAGTTATCTCTTATCTCTTTAGACATAGCCAGAGTGATCCGCCACCTTAGTCCCAAACTCAGAATGTATATACCTGGCGGTCCCATAGCACACATGATCTGAATGTCCACTAGTTTAATCATAGTACAATCTTTGAGGTCATACCAATTCCAGTGATCTAACCACTGTCTAAGTAATTCAATGGGAGGCTGAGCCCCATAGACCTCCCGAGCAGGCATGTTGACATCATCCACAAAAACAACCTAAGAAAGAAAAGAGAAACAGGTATTAGAAAATGTGTCCCACTGTGTAAACAATGTTGAAGCCAATTATTGGATTATGTTCTTGCAGAGTGCACATGTAAGAAGTGATGGCATCTTTCCCAAGCAGGGTAATATGTTTAGCTTTCATGGAATAGGGAGATATTTTCTCTATTCCTTGTTCCTCTAGGAACAGGAAGACCTTCTCATCACTAATCGTTACAGGTTAGTAGTTTAGGACTCACTAATCCTCTCATACAATTTTTTTCTCAATACACCTTGTCTTTTTTTCCTTGCATAATGACTATATTCATTACAATAAATGGGAAAGGTATGATTTTTGCCTGATTATAATCTTTGAGTAGTAAAGGTTAGGGTAAGAAGGAAGTTCTTTGCTGAAGAACACAGATGAATTGGTGGCTGATCAGTTAAAGGTCTAGAAGCAAGCAGTAAATACCTGCTAAGTAAAAATGTAGTGAAAGAGTTAGGAAGAGTAAGAAAAAGGTGAATATGATCAAAGTACATTATATGCATATGGAAATACCACAAAAACCCCTTTGGGCAATTCATGTACATTTATAAAAAAGGAAAAAATCAGGAAAGTAAATAATTTCTCAAATAAATATTTTGCTTAAAATTCACAGGGCAACTCTCTTTAATCTCAAGGTGTTTTGTGAACATATAAATATGACCAGTTTTAGGGACAAAGTTATGATTAAAAAGCACTCAAAAATGTGGATCATTGCTCTGATTACAGCAGTATACCTGAACAGGACCAGTATTGTACTATGACTGCAGAAAAAGAAACTCATTACCATTCTTTTGCCCAAAGGAGGACCAAACACTCCTTTTCTTCTCTTGTCCAGTTTTGACATAATAATATTCTGAGTTTGAGCTGCTGTCGTTTGTGCCGAGAAGTTAACTATCAGAGGTTTATAGATTTCCTTATTGAGTTGATTCAAAAGAAAATTCTACATAACAGGAAATAATAGAATGAGTCAGAGTTGATATTGTGTTTTGACATTTCAGAATAAACACTAAGTGTCATTGCTGACAGACTCACATTTAACCTTACGTGCCAGTGCAACGTAAAAAAGTAAAAATAGATGTAATCAATAGGAATAATAGCTGCCATGCCAACAGAGTCTCTATCTGTCCAGGCCCCTCATGTGCATCTTCTCTGATTTTCAAAACCATCATAAAGAGGACACATTCCTTCTTGATACGGAGTCATGGGGACTCTAAGGTTAGTACAGTTGCCTTCGGTCTTAGAGAAGGGAAAGAATTCAGCAGCCATCTGTCTCTTTCTAGACTAGTGTTTCTTTAAATATACCTTTCTACTTGCATACCAAGTTATCTTTCTGCAAGTAAGGAAATGTAAATAGTACAATTGTATTTTCAAAGTATAATTCACTAAAAATAGGTGGAATTATAATGGTTCTTAGTCAAGATGTGTGACAGGGACACCTGAGGTACTCTCAAAATATGCTTATCTCTCCTTGTCCATCACTTTCCTCCTCTCCCTTAAAAGTCCTGTAATAGGGTATCCTCCCTCGTTCCCTCCTCCTCTCTCTCTCTCTCTCTCTCTCTCTTCTTCTTCTTCTCTTTCTCTGTTTTTTGCAGTACAGGGCATTAAACCCAGGGTCACATGCATACTAGGTAAGAGCTTTAAGGCTTGAGCCACACCCCCAACCCAAGTCTTACACATTCTTAGTGAGTACTATATACATATGTAAGGATAAGAGAGGGCAATAGGTCAGGAGTTTTTTCCTTTTCCCATTTCAAACTTTACTCACATTGTTTTCCACTTTATTGTGTATAACACAAAATATTATGAGCCCAAAATATGAGGTGGTGAAATACATCAAGTAAGTCCCCTTCTCAAAACACAACTATGTGTTAAACATTATTGTAATTAAGCAAGTGAAAAGTTTGAAAATGCACTTTGAAATATTAACTTGTCAATCAACAAATATTAACAATATTTATCAATAAAATATTTATTATAAAAAGAACCCTGTTTTTCCCATTAATAACCACATCCAGTACATGTCAGGAGTGCTGGGAGGTAGACCAGGTAGAGAAAGAGGAAGAGAGGAGGGCTGATTGCTGACCAGAGATTCTGCAATTAAGCCTATTTTTCATTCCTTCCACCAGCCCAGCAGGAACTACTTCTTTTAATTTAAACTTATTTTCTTTGCATAAAATGAGCACATTCTAAAATGAAAGGTCTTTAAACCTTTGAAGAGTTTGTGTTTATACCTGTGATTGCCAGTTAGAATGACAAAAAAGCAGGAATGGTAAAATTTAGATAAAAATAAGTAGGAATATACTTTTTATGATTAAAATACATTTTTAGCTGAGCTTGATGATACATGCCTATAATCCTAGCACTCAGGAGGCTGAGACAAGAGGATTGCCAGTTAGAGGCCAGTCTGGGATACATAGAAAGTTCATGGCCAGCCTGGGCTACATAGTGAAAATCTGTCTCAAAAAATTAAGATACCTTTTTTCATGACTACATAATTAAAATGTAAGTGTCTGGTTATTTCAAGAGAAAAATGGTTTTAAAACAATGATTCTGTTTATGGCTTTTTAAATGACTGTATCCTGAGCAGCTACTATGATGAAGGAATCTCACGACATGTCTGCATAAAACATATTCACACGAACTTTCTGCATTATTGGTTTAAAACTCTTTCTAAAAATTATTTTACTTGTTTTCCCTACATAGTACATAACATAAATATTTTTATTGCAATGTATTGTTTTAGCTAACACAGTGGCTATCTGGTGGGTAACCAATAAGTTTTTGTTGGATGGATGGGTGGATAGATAGATGAAAGAATGGACAGACTAAATGGAATAAGAATGACAATGAGTACTCAACATACGCACAGTCATGGCATATGCTATCAAAACCATTTAAAAGCAGAACTAAATGTAACTGTGAAAATTATAAGTAGCTACAAAAAATCCAACTATCTTATATATATTATATTTATATGTCTGTATTTTCTTTTCCTGTGGCACTGGGGTTTAATTCAGGGCTTCATGCCTGCTAGGCAAGCACTCTACCACTTAAGCTTTACCGCTAGCCCATAAACTGTGATTAAAAAAATTTCATTCTTACTAGAAGGTAGTGAGGGAATAGGGATGAGGTAGCACTGCTCCCCTCCACAGCTCACTGGTAGGGAAGGAGCTCAATGGGTGCATATTGTCATGCATAGTATTGATAGTTTTAAAACTCTGAATTTAGAAAAAAAGTTACAGACTTGAGAAAAACTTTTTGGAGTTTTAAAGTAGGTTTAAATAACATTAAAAGAATTTTAAATAGTTTACGTAACCTAACTCAATAGGAAGAAAATAAACACATTATAATATCAACAGGTTAATATTTTTAAAAGAACATAACAAACTAAAGAGAATATATGTATACACAAGTGTAACTTATCACAATTTATATATCTGATATTAGTTTGCCTTAAAAGAAAAAAAGGACTTAAATCAGCACACACAAATACAAAATGCAGCAAATATGTGTTGAGTCTAAATGATCCAGACATGCTTAAAGTACAAAGAATAGACCATATAAATGAAAACTAAAAGAAGAAAATTTAACCAAACAGGACAATTAATACATTATGTTTCTGTATATTTATCATGTCATGTATCAAAATATACAAGTCACACCATTATCAAATGTTTCTCTAAATCCAGAAATTGATGGTTATTGATTTAGAAACCTTTAAATAAGTATATTTTTACTTTTCACCATGACACCTTAAAAATTATATGTTCTCATTAATGATCATCATGTAAAACTTATTCTTCAGTTTAAATGAAATATTAGTATCTCATAATTTTCCCACAAATAAAATTTCACTTGGTCCATTGAAAAGCTGAATTTTTTTTTGATATTAACATACAACATTCTCAAAATTAAGTACATGCCTATAAAAAGTACTCATTGTGGTGCAGAGCATCTCCACTTCACATTGAACAGAGAAACCAGGAGGGCCCCGTGGCCGCCACCAGTCGCCGGCGCCCAGACGGCTTAGGAAGACGCAGACCACAAGGAGCAGCAGCACATGCCTAGCAATCAGGAGCAGAAAAGCTTGTAAAAGCAGTGGTGGGAGGAAAACTCCACAGGAGGGGGGAAGACCCACTTCCCACATGAACTGTAAATAAACAGGCAGGCCTGAGAAAGCGGGTGCAGTGCCACCTTCCCCAGTGTGCTTGGAAAGGGGAAAGCTTGTAGCAGTGGCATCGCGCACAGAACTCTGAGTAAACAAAGTCTGTGGGGCCAGGTGAGTGCTAAGCTCACCCAGAGATCTGCATAAATAATACTGCCAGCAACAGCAGGCTGACAGCAGCAGGCAGGTGAGCCACAGCCACAGATAGCCATTCACAGACCTGTCCCCAGACTCTCTTTTTTCTCTCTCTACCTTTGATGAGAAAACAACCAAACTACACCTGCATGCTGAAAAACTTACTGAAACTGTATTGCATTTGAACTTGGGACACTTTGTGGGTTTTTTTGTTTGTTTTGTGCGGTTTTGTTCTACTTTATGTTTCCCTTTTGATGAGACAACTACAGAACAACATCTGAGGCACCATCTCCAGGACTGGAGGCTGAGGGACGAACACTAAAATTGTTACGACTGAAATGTCATTGCATTTGAACTTGGAAGCTTGTTTTTTTTTTTAAACTTTATTTATTTATTTATTTTATATTTTATATTTTATTTTATTTTATTTTTTATATATATGCTTTTTTCTTTCATTTACTTATTTTTAATTTTTATTCTTATCTTTGTTCTTCTTATTTTTTATTTTCAGTCCTCTCTGTCTCTCTAATGCCTGTTCAGCTTACTGTTCATTAGTACACTGTCTCTCCCTGTTTATATCTTTGAAACTTTTTTGTTTCTTTGTTTTGTTTTTTTTTTCTACTTGATTATTTGTTTTTCCCTTTTCCTTTAACTTCTTTGCTTTCCATCCCCTCTCACCCTTCCATTCTAAATATCACTAATGCTGTTATTACAGCTAGAAAATACTTAACTGCACACAGTACAGGGACATAACAACACCAAGGCAATGATGGAAGACAGAAAAAACAGGGAAACCAGTTTCCCCACAGCAAAAAATTAGTACAGGAACCAGAGGGAATGAAAAAACAGATACTCAGATCCAGACTCCAACAAAATGAAGATAAACTATGCCAAAGAACCCAATGAAGCCACAAGAATAATTTAAAAGAAGACATACTACAGGTACTCAATGAGAATTTTATAGAGATGATACTGGATATGGTCAACCAAAATGTACAGGAGACACTCAAGAAATTCCAAGACAACAAAGATAGAGAATTTGAAAAAGCAAAAGAAGAAATAAAGGAAACCATAGAAGCACTGTATAAACACCAAAGTGAAACAGAGAACAGATTAATAAAGAGATAAATGAACTCAGGACAAAAATAGACAACATTAAAGAGGAAACACCCAGGATATGGAAAACCTCAGAAAAAGAAAAGACAAGAATGCAAACTGCAAAACAAAACGGAAGGCCAATCCAGCAGAATAGAACAAAAACAGAAGACAGAATCTCAGAACTTGAAGATGAAATGGTAATTAAAGGAAAAACGAAGAACTATTAATTAAACAACTCAAGACCTGTGAAAAGAAAATGCAAGAACTCACCTGACTCCATCAAAAGACCAAACTTGAGAATCATGGGCATAGAAGAAGGAGAAGAGGTGCAAGCAAAGGGAATGCGTAATATATTCAACAAAATAATAACAGAAAATTTCCCAAATCTAGAGAAAGCTATTCCCATACAGATGCAAGAGGCCTCCAGACACCAAACAGACCAGATCAAAATAGAACTACCCACGACATATCATCATTAAAACAACAAGTTCAGAAACTAGGGAAAGAATATTGAAGGCTGTAAGAGAGAAAAAACAAATAACATACAAAGGTAAACCCATCAAAATCACAGCAGACTTCTCAACAGAAACATTAAAAGCAAGAAAGCGTGGGGTGAGATCTTCCTGGGCACTGAATGAAAATAACTTCAACCCCAGGATACTCTACCCAGCAAAACTATCATTCAAAATAGATGGAGCAATAAAAGTCTTCCATGATAAGCAGAAACTAAAACAATATGTGACCACAAAGCCACCACTACAAAAGATTCTTCAAGGGATTCTGCACACAGAAAGTGAAACCCAACTTAACCATGAAAAGGGCAGCACCAAACACAGGAAAAGAAAAAGCAAGAAAGTAGAGAGTAACCTCAACTTAGGTACACACAATCAAACCTTCAAACAACTAAGACAACTAAATGACAGGAATCACCACATACCTATCAGTACTAACACTTAATGTTAATGGACTTAATTCACCCATCAAAAGGCACCATTTGATGAAATGGATTAAAAAGGAAGATCCAACAATTTGTTGCTTACAGGAGACCCATCTCACTGACAGAAATAAGCATAGGCTTAGGATGAAAGGCTGGAAGAAGATTTACCAAGCCAATGGCCCCCAAAACAGGCAGGAGTAGCAATACTTATCTCTGACAAAGTAGACTTCAAACCTACATTGATCAAATGAGATAAAGAAGGACATTCCATACTAATAAAAGGGGAAATAGACCAAAAGGAAATAATAATTATCAACCTGTATGCACCCAATGTCAATGCACCCAATTTCATCAAGCACACACCAACACAATGGTTGTGGGAGACTTTAACACCCCATTATCATCAATAGATAGGTCATCCAAACAAAAAATCAATAAAGAAATCCAAGATCTAAAATATACAATAGATCAAATGGACCTATTGATGTCTACAGAACATTTCATCCAACTTCTACACAATATACATTCTTCTCAGCAGCCCATGGAACCTTCTCCAAAATAGATCATATCCTAGGGCACAAAGCAAGCCTCAGCAAATATAAGAAAATAGAAATTATACCATGCATACTATCTGATCACAATGCATAAAACTAGAACTCAACAACAAAAGTAAAGACAAAAAACATGCAAACAGCTGGAAACTAAATAACTCATTACTTAATGAACAATGGATCATGATGAAATAAAAGAGGAAATTAAAAAGTTCCTGGAAGTCAATGAAAATGAAAACACAACCTACCGGAACCTATGGGACACAGCAAAGGCAGTCCTGAGAGGAAAGTTTATAGCCATGAGTGCATATATTAAAAAGACTGAAAGATCCCAAATCAATGACCTAATGATACATCTCAAACTCCTAGAAAAACAAGAACAAGCAAATCCCAAAACAAATAGAAGGAGAGAAATAATAAAAATAAGAGCTGAAATCAAAAATAGAAACCAAAAAAACCATACAAAGAATTAATGAAACAAAAAGTTGGTTCTTTGAAAAAATAAACAAGATCGATAGACCCTGGCAAACCTGACTAAAATGAGGAGAGAAAAAACCCAAATTAGTAGAATCAGGAATGCAAAAGGGGAGATAACAACAAACACCATGGAAGTCCAGGAAATCATCAGAGACTACTTTGAGAACCTATATTCAAATAAATTTGAAAATCTTAAAGAAATGGACAGATTTCTAGATACATATGATCATCCAAAACTGAACCAAGAGGAAATTAATCACCTGAATAGATCTATAACACAAAATGAAATTGAAGCAGCAATCAAGAGTCTCCCCAAAAAGAAAAGTCCAGGACCTGATGGATTCTCTGCTGAATTCTATCAGACCTTTAAAGAAGAACTGATACCAACCCTCCTTAAACTGTTCCATGAAATAGAAAGGGAAGGAAAACTGCCAACACATTTTATGAAGCCAGTATTACACTTATCCCAAAACCAGGCAAAGACACCTCCAAAAAGGAGAACTATAGGCCAATCTCCTTAATGAACATTGATGCAAAAATCCTCAACAAAATAATGGCAAACGAATTCAACAACACATCAAAAAGATTATTCACCACGACCAAGTAGGCTTCATCCCAGGATGCAGGGGTGGTTCAACATACGAAAATCAATAAACGTAATAAACCACATTAACAGAAGCAAAGACAAAAACCACTTGATCATCTCAATAGATGCAGAAAAAGCCTTTGATAAGATCCAACACCATTTCATGATAAAAGCTCTAAGAAAACTAGGAATAGAAGGAAAGTACCTCAACATTATAAAAGCTATATATGACAAACCTACAGCCAGCATTATACTTAACGGAGAAAAACTGAAACCATTCCCTCTAAAATCAGGAACCAGACAAGGATGCCCACTATCTCCACTCCTATTCAACATAGTACTGGAATTCCTAGCCAGAGCAATTAGGCAAGAAGAAGGAATAAAAGGAATACAAATAGGTAAAGAAACTGTCAAAATATCCCTATTTGCAGATGACATGATCCTATACCTTAAAGACCCAAAAAACTCTACTCAGAAGCTTCTAGACATCATCAATAGCTATAGCAAGGTAGCAGGATATAAAATCAACATAGAAAAATCATTAGCATTTCTATACACTAATAATGAACAAACTGAAAGAATATATGAAAACAATTCCATTTACAATAGCCTCAAAAAAAATCAAATACCTAGGTGTAAACCTAACAAAGATGTGAAAGACCTCTACAAGGAAAACTATAACTTCTGAAGAAAGAGATTGAGGAAGACTATAGAAAGTGGAGAGATCTCCCATGCTCATGGATTGGTAGAATCAACATAGTAAAAATGTCTATACTCCCAAAAGTAATCTACATGTTTAATGCAATTCCCATCAAAATTCCAATGACATTCATTAAAGAGATTGAAAAATCTACTTAAATTTATATGGAAACACAAGAGGCCACGAATAGCCAAGGCAATACTCAGTCAAAAGAACAATGCTGGAGGTATCACAATACCTGACTTCAAACTATATTACAAAGCAATAACAATAAAAACAGCATGGTACTGGCACAAAAACAGACATGAAGACCAGTGGAACAGAATAGAGGACCCAGATATGAAGCCACACAACTATAACCAACTTGTCTTTGACAAAGGAGCTAAAAATATACGATGGAGAAAAGCAGCCTCTTCAACAAAAACTGCTGGGAAAACTGGTTAGCAGTCTGCAAAAAACTGAAACTAGATCCATGTATATCACCCTATACCAAATTAACTCAAAATGGATCAAGGATCTTAATATCAGACCACAAACTCTAAAGTTGATACAGGAAAGAGTAGGAAATACTCTGGAGTTAGTAGGTATAGGTAAGAACTTTCTCAATGAAACCCCAGCAGCACAGCAACTAAGAGATAGCATAGATAAATGGGACTCATAAAACTAAAAAGCTTCTGTTCATCAAAAGAAATGGTCTCTAAACTGAAGAGAACACCCACAGAGTGGGAGAAAATATTTGCCAGCTACACATCAGACAAAGGACTGATAACCAGAATATATAGGGAACTTAAAAAACTAAATTCTCCCAAAACTAATGAACCAATAAAGAAATGGGCAAGTGAACTAAACAGAACTTTCTCAAAAGAAGAAATTCAAATGGCCAAAAAACACATGAAAAAATGCTCACCATCTCTAGCAATAAAGGAAATGCAAATTAAAACCACACTAAGATTCCACCTCACCCCTGTTAGAATAGCCATCATTAGCAACACCACCAACAACAGGTGTTGGCGAGGATGTGGGGAAAAAGGAACCCTCTTACACTGTTGGTGGGAATGTAAACTAGTACAACCACTCTGGAAAAAAATTTGGAGGCTACTTAAAAAGCTAACATGATCTACCATTTGATCCAGCAATACCACTCTTGGGGATATACCCAAAAGACTGTGACACAGGTTACTCCAGAGGCACCTGCACACCCATGTTTATTGGCACTATTCACAATAGCCAAGTTATGGAAACAGCCAAGATGCCCCACACTGACGAATGGATTAAGAAAATGTGGTATCTATACACAATGGAATTTTATGCAGCCATGAAGAAGAACGAAATGTTATCATTCGCTGGTAAATGGATGGAATTGGAGAACATCATTCTGAGTGAGGTTAGCCTGGCCCAAAAGACCAAAAATCGTATGTTCTCCCTCATATGTGGACATTAGATCAAGGGCAAACACAACAAGGGTATTGGACTTTGAGCACATGATAATAGCGAGAGCACACAAGAGAGGGGTGAAGATAGGTAAGACACCTAAAAAATTAGCTAGCATCTGCTGCCCTCAACACAGAGAAAATAAAGTAGATACCTTAAAAGCAACTGAGGCCAATAGGAAAGGGGACCAGGAACTAGAGAAAAGGTTAGATCAAAAAGAATTAACCTAGAAGGTAACACACGCACAGGAAATCAATGTGAGTCAATCCCTGTATAGCTATCCTTATCTCAACCAGCAAAAACCCTTGTTCCTTCCTATTATTGCTTATACTCTCTCTACAACAAAATTAGAAATAAGGGCAAAATAGTTTCTGCCAGGTAGCAAGGGGGTGGGGGGGAGAGGAAAGGGGTGGAGTGGGTGGTAAGGGAGGGAGTGGGGGCAGGGGGAAGAAATGACCTAAGCATTGTATGCACATATGAATAATAAAAAAAATAAAAATTAAAAAAAGTAAAAAAATAAAAACTACTAATTTTTCCAATTTAATTATCAAATTATATGTGTTAATTAAAATTGTTCTACACCTCTTACACTGTTGGTGGGGATGTAGACTAGTACAACCACTCTGGAAAAAAATTTGGAGGCTACTTAAAAAGCTAGACATCGATCTACCATTTGATCCAGCAATACCACTCTTGGGGATATACCCAAAAGACTGTGACACAGGTTACTCCAGAGGCACCTGCACACCCATGTTTATTGCGGCACTATTCACAATAGCCAAGTTATGGAAACAGCCAAGATGCCCCACCACTGCCGAATGGATTAAGAAAATGTGGTATCTATACACAATGGAATTTTATGCAGCCATGAAGAAGAACGAAATGTTATCATTCGCTGGTAAATGGATGGAATTGGAGAACATCATTCTGAGTGAGGTTAGCCTGGCCCAAAAGACCAAAAATCGTATGTTCTCCCTCATATGTGGACATTAGATCAAGGGCAAACACAACAATGGGATTAGACTATGAGCACATGATAAAAGCGAGAGCACACAAGGGAGGGGTGAGGATAGGTAAGACACCTAAAAAATTAGCTAGCATTTGTTGCCCTTAACGCAGAGAAACTAAAGCAGATACCTTAAAAGCAACTGAGGCCAATAGGAAAAGGGGACAGGACTAGAGAAAAGGTTAGATCAAAAAGAATTAACCTAGAAGGTAACACACACACAGGAAATCAATGTGAGTCAACCCTGTATAGCTATCCTTATCTCAACCAGCAAAAACCCTTGTTCCTTCCTATTATTGCTTATACTCTCTCTACAACAAAATTAGAAATAAGGGCAAAATGGTTTCTGCTGGGTATTGAGGGGTTGGGGGGGGAGAGGGAGGGGGTGGAGTGGGTGGTAAGGGAGTGGGTGGGGGCAGGGGGGAGAAACGACCCAAGCCTTGTATGCACATATGAATAATAAAATTAAAATAAAATAGTTCTACAAAT